TGTCTAGGATTAGAGATGTGAGTGCTATAGGTACCATAGGGCAGGTAGAACACATACAATATAAGGGATGGACAGTGAGAATCTTAGCTGACCCCCCCATTGCATTTGTTATCTTGTGGTTATCATAAACTGTTCTCTGTGATGTCCATCTGCCATACCACCCTACCTAGGAACCAGATGGCTATGGTCTGAAGTCCTCACAAATTGTGAGCTAAATAAACCTTCACCCCTTTAACTTTGGGTTTTGCATATTACATCTTAGCAACTTGATAAAAATAACTAAAATACCAACCTATATGCCAATACATTGGAAAACTTAGAAGAAATGGGTAGATACACAGATAAGTTCATATGAATTACCAAAACTGAACCAAGAATGTATAAAATCTCTGAATAATCCAATAAAAGGCAATAAAATTGGAGCAGTAATAAAAAAAAAACACCATACCAACTAAGAAAAGCCTCTATCTGGAAAGATTTGCTGCTGAATTCTACAAGAACTTCAGGAAACATATAACACCAATACTCCTCAAATTCTTTAATACAATTGGAAGGGGAGGAGTTCTTCCAAAGTCATTCCTGGGAGCTGCATTCCTGTATTATTCACAACAATACCTTGATGCCAAAATGAGACAAAGTTCTAACCAAAAAAAGAATTACATATTGGCCCTTGTCTTCAGTGAAAATAGGTACTGAAATCTCAATAAGATATGGGGCAAACAGAATGTGATGAATTATCAAAATGTCACACATTATGAGCAAGTGGAGTTCACTTTACGTATGCAAGGATGGCTCAATATATGCAAGTCAATAAATGTAAGACATCACATAAGCAGAATCAAGGACAAAAGTCACATAACGATCTTAATAGATACAGAGAAATCCTCTCGCAAAATCTAACACCAATTAATGATAAAAAGCAATGAAGAAAATAGGTATAGAAGGATTTTATCTCAATATGATAAAATCCATCTATGACTGACCCACTTCCAACCTCATATTAATTCAGAAATATCTGAAAACTTGTCCTCTAAAATCAAAATCAAGACAAGAATGTCCACTATCACATCCCTGTTTAACGCAGTACTTAAAATATTAGAAAAAGAAATTGGGCATAGAAAGAAATATAAAGTATATTTATAGAAAGAGAAGAACTCAAATTATCATTCTTTGCAGTTGACATAACCTTCTACATTGTGGACTCAAATATTCCATTAACAACTCCTGAAATTAATGTCTTATATCAGCAGTGTAGGAGGATACAAAATCAACATAAAAATCAGTAGCATTTTCATATATCAATTATGAATGCACTAGCAACAAGAATACCATTCACAACACAAATAAAAACTAAGTATTTACAAAATAAAGTAACCAAGGAAGGAAAAGGACTGTACAACGGAAACTAAACTATGCTGAAAAAGGAGGCTGAAGAAGGCATCCAAAAATTAAAAGCTATCATCATTCCCGAGAAGCAGAACCAATGTTGTCCAAATGGCCATACTCCTTTGCATTCCTAATATTTATACATCTAATTTCCATTTCCTTCTTGTTTAGTTTTTCTTCCACACTCCAGGTGTTGAAGTGTTTCCACCTTCATTCACTGCATCCTCTGCAATTTACAGGCTGCCTTCACCAAAACCTCAAATATCTTCAAACTCATGAATGGGCAGTTTCTTTACCATTACACATGAAGCCAAATCTGCTTCCCACATGCAGTGGCTGCTCATATATTCCCATGAATCTCTGGGTGTCGCCAAAGATCTTGCTCCTCATTTCAGCTTCCAGACTCCTCTCCTCACCCTACAGCCTCCCCTCGAAGAAGTCATGTATTGCATACTACCAGAGTGTAGGGGATACTTTGTTGCTGTAGTCACACCAGGGACAACTCTCTCGACTGACCTTCGATTCCCTTTCATCTTTCAACACTACCCCTCTCTGCCTTGAGTTCTGTTATTTTTAATACATGCAACCAAGAAGTCTCAAATTTCAAAAAGCCTGAAATTTAGATATATATTTAAATCTCCAAATCTTTTCCAATCTACTTTTCTAATCTCAGTTGCTTTTTCAGATACAACATACCTAATTATTTGAGAAGTTCTATTGGCCTGAAACATATTTGTGGAAAACACATACTTTAAGCAGCTTACTTCTGTCTGCTACAGTTTGGATTTTAAATGGCCCTCAATGCCTATATTCTAAGTGCTTGATCCTTGGCTTGCTTAAGAGATAAGACCTTGTGGGAAGAAATGATGTTCTTGGACTTGCGTCTTTTGATGGAATATTGTGAAACTGACCTATTCTTGCCTCTGTCTCTGTGTCTGTCTGTCTCTCTTTCTGTGTCTGTGTGTTTGTATGCGTGTGTGTGAGCATACCTCCTTCACAGCTGTAATGAAGTGTGCAAATTCCTTTTCCTGTGCTGCTGCCTTCATAACACAGCCTTGCCACAAGCCCAAACCCTAAAGATCGAACAGCTATGGACTTAAACCTCCAAAATTTTAAGTCAAAAATAATTTTTCCACTTTTTAATAATATTTAATCTCAGGGGTTTGTCACATAGTTGAAAGCTGACTAGCTCATTGTCCAGCTACCAACTCAGACTCTCTGAACTTGCAACTCAAACTCATGCTCCTATGTCCCAGGATCCTTCTAAGTGCTGTGGGTATTAGACCTTCCCAGGAGACTCAGTGTTATCCTGTGGACACGCTCCCTGTTATAGTGCATGTAAAAACTCATGGTGTATTAACTCCCCCTCTTCCTACCTTTCCTTCATATGTTCTTTTCACAATTAGGGATTTGGGGGGCCTGCAACATAGCTCAGCAGACTATGCACCTGCTTAGGCTAGTGCAGGGACTGGGGTTCAGTCCCCGGTGCATTCCTTCCTGGCCTCACTGCCGAGCTCACTGAGCCAGACAAAGAAACTGGGCGTGGTGGCACATGCCTATTTTTCCAGCACTGGGAAGGCTGAAAACAAGAGGATCACTATGAGTCTGAGCTGTGTAGTGAGACTCTGTACCAAATACATTAAAAAAATGAAGGATTTTGATATATTGATTTTCACTTCAGAGGGAAAAATCAGAGCAGACAAACAAAAACACATCATGCATGCTTTTGTCTTGACCCACAGCCTTTCTATATGATCCATTCGTCTCTGTAGCTCTAAAATCTTTTCTTTGTATTCATGAGATATAAAATGATGCACAAGTAAATTTAATTTTTAACATGTATCTTGAGTTTTGTTAGCTTCAGTTTCATTACAGAAAATAGTTTAAAATTTTTTATTCTCTAGGATGATTTTTGAAAGTTAGTGTTTATGTTTTAATTTAAGACACAATGGATATCCCTCAAGCTTTCACAGAGAGCACATTGGCCAAGCAATGGCTGTGACTCATCCACATGGCTGACACTGACAAAGGTTCCACAATCTGAGGTACAGGATCCCAGGATAAATCCTGAGGGAATTTCACTGACTTTATCAGACCCAAAAGCTACAACTCTTCTTGCATAGGTCCTGCTTTACCTTGGTCTTAACCATCCAGTAGAAAAGTATGAAGACGAAACATAGGAAGTAAATCCATGCTGTTATGTTGAGCTGTGGGGGACTCAGGTCAACAATTTCTGACACTGCCAGTTAAGCGGAAGACCCAATACTATTATGGGCTGCTGGACTCTTTTAGAATATTTTGCTGAGTTAACACACCTATAATATTCAAATAACAGACCTAAACAAAAAAAGGGGATATAGATGAATGTCCATTTTGTATCTGTGTATTCAAAGTGGTTAGGATAGATATATAGTTACATTCTCTTAATGAATAGACTGATTTGTTCTAATGGTGTTTGTAAATAGGATTATCATGTCCGCATCTTGTACAGCAATTAACAACTAGGAAGAATGTATGCAGTGCGTTAATTATTGAAACTGTCCTACCAATTTGGTTTGAAACTGTCTCATTGCTATTTATTTTTCAATAAAATTATGGCAAAAAACTCCACAATGGATATTATATGCTATAGAAATACAGATATGAGACAAATGCCTAATGTCCCAAGAGAGCAGGGAGCAACAGACAGAGCCCAGGGAGAGCCTCTGTTTCTCACTTGTAAATCCCAGAAAGCTGGGATTCAAGGCTGCAGATAACAGCTTCTCCTGCAGGCGCCCTGTTCTTTGATTCCTTGCTTGGGATGTTATTGGCTAGCATTTGTGTGAACCTAGCGTTAGGCAAATGGTGGAAGTCAATCGAGATAGTAGTTTGTATTCACTTAAGTAATTATGCACATTCCTTACGCTGCCTTTAGCCCTCAATAAATGTGAGGTGCTTCTGAGGCTCTGGGCTCACTTGGAGAGGGACTAATCTCAGTGAGACTTCTGAAGCTACATTCTTCAGGTCTTCTCATCATTTCTTTCGGCACCGACCCGTAACATACAACAGTATTCATACTTTGAGAATAGTATGTAATATACTAACCATTGTTACTTTCCTACAATCTTGTTTTTAAATTTCATATCGTTGTTATTGTTGTTTTTCTTTTATTTTAAAATAAAAAGAAAAATATTAAAAAAATAAAAATAAAGAGGCTAATTGTGGGAAAGTGGTCCTGTGACATGTAACGCTACAAATGACCTTTGAGGACATTATCGTATTGTCCTTTTATCCTTTGATTCAGGTATTTGTATTTAAGAAAAAAATAAGAGGACTTGGGATATGCTCAGCAGAACAGCTCTTGTAAGTGCGAGGTTGTGAGTTTGATTCCTGGTACCAACCAAAAAAAGAAAATGAATAAAAACAGAAACTTAAGTTGCTAAAAAAAAAATCCAACCATCTTTGAGATAAGACTTTAATAATCTGGTTACATTTGTCAGTACTCTGAATAAAGTGAGGAAATATATAAGCAATAAAGGAGAGAATTTAAAATTGTAACAAAAGGTAAAATATTAATGAATAATCTATTTTTAGAGTCAAGCCTAGAATAAATAAGAGTGTAAGAACAATGTCAAAAATTTCAGAGTTCATAATAATAGTTCAGTTTGTGAATAATTCCAGTATCAAAATACTAACTCAGAAAGATTAAGTGGGTGCTTCAAGATAGAAATTGCTTAGAACTACTTGGAAAAAGTGGGGTGGAAAACATACCCTCTCTTTAATAAATGCAAAGATGAATTGATGTTTTAAAATAAAAATAATGCTAACTCTAAAGTCCCATTTAAGGATTGGCCGTGGCTCTCCTAGGAAAATCAAGTGACACTGCCAAATTTCAGAAATATTGTCAGTGACTATTTTTATCTTAATAAAGCCATGTTTGAGGTTCTCAAAGACGAGAAAAGTTAACTGCAGTGCCGCTAATGATTTTTAAATAATTAAAATGTACAATGCTTTCTCCACCTGCAGGAAGGCTGAAAGAACAGGGCATTACAGTTTCGTCTTCAGTTCTCCAGCTTTCGGGACCTTGGGATTCTGACATCCATCTTTGCACTCATTTTCGTGTTCTGTAGCCTTGGCATCTGCCAGCTCAGTTCCTGTAGAGTCACTTTCACCAGGTAGATGACGTTTCCTCAAAAGAATTAGGGTCAAGAAGGCTGGTAAAAAGCTTGCTCCTCTTATTCCTGCAGGCAATCCAAGGTAGATGTGCCTATACAAGAAAGAATTAAAATATATTTAATCTGACACATAGGGGTTGGGGAGATAGCTCAGTAGAATAAGCACTTGCCTAACAAGTGAAGGGTCCTGAGTTCAATGCCCCATAAAAAAAAAATTCTGTCGTGTTTGTGTCCACCAGTTCAGTACCTGCAGAGTCAGTTTGTGGTCAGTACAAACTGATTTTGTTTATTTTTCTACATACTTGATTGTCTTAAGACTAACGGCAGCTATTATATTCTTCCTATTTTTTATGAATAACTTTGCTGAATTAATTTTAGTATTTGCTAAACTGTGTTTTGAACGTTCCACCAGAAAGTCAAAATTGATTGTTTTTACTAGTAACCATTTGTTACAATTTTTGCATCTAGTAGAAGTTCCAATTTAAACATAACACTGATGGGGCTGGGGAGATAGCATGGCAGTCTGAGAACCTGCTTGGCAAGTACAAGGACCCAGGTTTGATCCCTAGTACCAGTACTGCACACTGTGCTGGTCCCAAAACTGGGCACAGTAGTGGTGCATGCCTATACTTCCAGCACTGGGGAGGCAGAGACAAGAGGATCATTATATCAGTATGATTCTGAGCTGCATAGTGAGGCCCTATACCAAATAAATAAATAAATAAATAAATAAATAAATAAATAAATATTAAAACATATTACTGACAATTAGAACAGTGTTTTTACCCATTATTTAATAAAAATATTTCAAAAAATCATCACTATTTATAATATATATTTTGGGGCAATTTAAAGGAAAATTTTCTGTTCTGAGTTGGCTCAGTTTTGATCATTAATGTCAAAACTATCAAACCACTATTCTATATAGAGAAACAGACAAGAATTTTTAGCTTTACATTTGTAAATTCTGTTATACTAATAGATTTTTCTTATGTTGCACCAATCTTGTGTTGTTAGATAAACTTCATTAACCATTGTTATACATTAGTAGATTCAACTTGCTAATTTTTGCAGAGAAATTTTGCATATATATTTAAGAGATTAGTTTGTAAATTTTTTGTATATTGAACTATCCAGAGTTAATACTATGATTGTACTAGCTTTGTATGAGGAATTGAGAAATCTTCCCTTTTCTCTGTTCCTTGGAAAAACTCATATATAATGTTGGAATTGAGAGTTTGCTTTATATTAGATAAAATTTGCCTTAAACTATCTGGACTTGGTAATCATGGGAGATAGACTATTTTAAAGATTTGTATTTATAAACAGCTATGAAAATATTTGTGTTTTCTGTATATTTATCATAAAATTTGGTCATTTATTTTGGCTTAGGAAATTCTCTAATATATTTCCATATTTTTATATCTGATACCACTAAATATCTACTAATATCACTTTATTATTCCTTTTTTAATATTCTTTTTTATGTATTTTACTACAGGATCTACAGGGTCTCACTACACAGATCAGACTCATAGTGATCCTCCTGTTTTCAACCTCCCAAGTGCTGGGATTACAGGTGTGCACCACTATGCCCAATCTCTGTAGCCATCTCAGCACACGCTGGGGGCGGGGCTGGCACAGCATGCCAGGGATTGAACCCTGGTCCCTGCAACTGCTTAGGCAGGCACTTTAGTCTGCTGAGCTATCTGGCCAGCCCTTCACTTTTTCTTAGTAGTGTTTATTTTTGCCTACTCTCTTTATTTGATTTTCCAGGTTATTGTTATTATTATGTTCTCATCTTTCCAAAACCAGACTTTTATCTTTGAATTGCTGATATGATGATGGTGAATAGCTTGTGTATTAATTTTTGTTAGTTTTCATCTCTCTTAATCTGCATTTTTCAAGAGTATAGAGAAAAGTACACCAATGAAAGGTTTAGGTCTCAACAGAGAGCATTGTGTTCCTTATTTTAACTAATTCCACTTGTTAAGACTGTTTTTCCAAAAAAGTTAGTATTCTAAAATTCTAGGTGGGCATGAAATTTTGAGGTCCTTTTTTTTCCTTTCTTTCCATTTTGTGTATTTGGTACAGGGTCTCACTATGCAGCTCAGACACCTGGTGATCATCCTGTTTTCAGCCTCCCCAGTGCTGGGATTACAGGCATGTAACACCACACCCGGACTCTATTGCTCGCTCAGTGCACCCCAGGGGCAGGGCTGGCACAGCATACAGGACCGAGAATCAAACCCTTGTCCCTGTGCTTGCCAAAGCAGGTGCTTAGTTTGTTGAGCTATCTTGCAGCCCAAGGTGCTTTAATTAAGCCTGTATGAAGTTTTTACCTCATCGTTTTGCTTATAGCCTGAAATATGGACCTAGTCTTGACTCACTGGAAATATTTCATTATCCCTTTGGAAGCCGATTTCCCAGAATTCCCAATTTCTAGACTTACAGCTCTACATTCAGTCTTTGAATTCACTTCTGTTTAGGCTTGCAAGCTCTTGTTTAATTTTCAGTTTGGGGCCGGAGGTCCAGAATGACACTTACATTGTTTGAAACTAGCTATATCCCTTCAGGATATTGAAAACACTAGATCTATTATTTCTAGTTGGGATAGAGAAAACATTTGTATGTAATTAGAGAATTATTTATATGATGTTTATGTTAAATTTATACCATTATATATGTATATTATATAGTTATATTATTTATATAAAAATATTTATGAGGCTGTTCTATTTCACCTTTGCTTTTGTTGTACTTTGTCTAAACTCTAGTTCATTAAAACTTAGGTCTTTAAAAATGCATGTACCTAAAAATACCTTAAAGTTTCTTTGAAGACTGTTTAGTTTCAAATCTTCTGCTCCTCACTTTCCTTGACCTAGCTTTCTAGTTATTAAATTAGTCTCATTATAATTTATTATTTTAAGCAATTTAAGACTGTGTTCTTTTTCATTCTGAACATTTAAGAGTTTTGACATTCTTTTCCATTCTAATTCTAATTCCATTGCCTTTGAATAGAAAATGGAATTTTTATTGTGTCAAAAATTTTGTTTTTGAAAACTTTTCTTAGTGGCATGGGACCTAGTCAATTTTTTTAAGTGTTTAATGTAGGCTTCAGAAGAATAAATGTTCTGTTTGGTTAGCAAATGTCCACGTCAATTAGATCACTCATATAATTGGTAATTCAAAATTTCTGCATACTTACTTATGAGAGTTTTTCATATGGACTTATTTGCCTATGTTGAACTCCCCTCGTACTCCTGAGATTAAATTAATTTGATGATTGTGTATAATCTTTATGAAAGATTTTGAATTGGAGTTGTTTGTATTTTCTTGAGAATTTTTATATGTTTTCATCAGAGATATTGGATTAAGAGAGCTGGCCAGGGACACATAGAGAGAAGAAATTTGGGGCTGCATATAAATATATAAAAATTGGGGTTGGGCAGATAACTCAGTGGCATAAGCACCTGCCTGGAAAATGCAAAGTCTCGAGTTCAATCCCCAAAACAGAAAAA